CATCCTTTCTCGTTGTGCCAAAGGTGCAGAACGCCTGCAGCATCATAGTGGCACGAGCTGCAGTGAGCGAGCGAAAGACCGAAAGAGGAAGTGGCTGGTGCGTGACTGGTCTACGTACGACGTCGTGGTCCTTGAACGAGTCGGCATGCTGCTCCATTTCGTCCATGTTCACCACTACCTGCTCCACCTTGTCTGCACCGTCGACGGAACAAGAGGGCCGCCAAGGTGAGAGCTTGGCCCAAGCGTAAGCGCAGACAGGCGGTATGTCGCACCGCTTTGGAACTCATCGGCCTGGCGCCTGTTGATGAGGGTTATGCGGCTCCACTTGGGCGACTCAATCAGCTCGCGCACCAGTTCCTGTGCCGAAGGAGTGCATGTGTGGGAAAAAAGGATCTACCAATGCATACTGCATGCTTCTGCCGTAGTTTTCAGTGATTGAGAGATTTGAGTGGGATGCGCGTACCCTGCCTGTGGCACCCGTGCCGCCCAGTACTATCGCGCGCCAGCCCTTCATCTCTTCCTTGTGTGCGCTCTCTTCCTCCATCAGCTTTATGAAAGATTGGGAAAAAAATATGTTGTTTTGTTATTTTTTTTTGTTTTTTATTTTTATTTTGGTTTTCGTTGGCTTGCCCGAAAAAACGCTCACGCCAATTCTGTGGCCGTACGGAAAGAACCGCCCGGTCCACGGATTTGGCGGCTCCATCGTTGGTTGGTTTTGATTCTTGAAGAACGAAAGGAAGCAGAGGATGGAGATGAACCCGAGCACGAGCGTAACGGGCAAGCGGCCGAGGGAGGAAGAGGTTGCGACGAACGGAAAGGGAAGCGAAAATGGAAATGCTGAGGCCAAGGTGTCGAAGATTGAAGAGAACACCACGCCTCACCAACAGCTCTCGGTCGCGGTAACCACCTCGCCCTCTCTCGATGGAGAGAAGAAGATCGTGAGAGTGTGGGCAGATGGTTGCTTCGATATGATGCACTTTGGTCACGCCAATGCTCTGCGCCAGGTACGCATCTCACTCACTCACTTTGATCTCGTTGCACTTCTCACAAATCAATGCAATTAATTTTTGCAGGCGAGATCTCTGGGCGATTATCTTGTGGTGGGC